GTGTGCTCGGCGGGTAGCATACCCTCCATGTACACACGGCGAGATGCACACACACTCCAAAAACGGCAGCAGCCATCTCGCTGCCAAGAACAAAGCCCTTTGTTTTATTTACGTTCCACATGAGCTGCTCACGGGCATTCACAAATAACAAATAAATAAATATTAATTGGAAGCGGAGAGACTGCCGGTGTGCTCTCGAGCGACGCGCGCCGCTTAAAAATAAGTTGTTCACTCACAACAGCACATTCACAGTCGGATCCAATTAGAGAGGGAGGATTTTGCAGATGAACAGGTTTTCTAATTATGCACAGGTGACTAATATTGCACTCCAAGTTTGAACCACAACTTTTCAAATTTGATAAGAAAACTTTTGTCGAGGAATGTGTGGTTCAAAAAGCTATGGACACTTAAAATTAGGAGATGATATGCAAGTATTTTGAATGCCAATCATTACAATGGTAATGGTAAATAACGTAAAATATTATTTAAGCTTTAAAATCTATTCCGATGATTTATTTTTGCTTTGAATGACTGCGAAAAATTTCAAAGCAGATAGTGGTGATGAAATCAGAGAAAATGAAGGGAAAAATGGATAAAATCGTGGCAAAATCAGCTCTACAGTTCTGCTACATTAAATTAATAAACAATTTATTATAGTAACAAAAATACAAAAAATTTCTGTAATGATTTTTGAATAAATCTGAAATTTTGAATAAAATTATTACCATGTTTTCTTTCTCACATTCAATTCAGTATGCATTATCTCGGGTTCAAAACGTAAAAATTGATACTTGGTACTAAAAAATTGTTACATCAATCATTGGCTTAGCGTTGTTACTTATACATTTCGATAGAAAAAAATAATACAAAAAAGTTATTAACACTCATTTTTTTATTATTTATTTATTAAACATATTAGGTTAACAAAATAACAACAAATATTTTAACTGAATTTATAAACATTCGAAATAATGTTAAATTATATTATTTAAAAATTATTAAAGAAGTAAAAAATATTTCAATTCTTTAAAAAAAAAAAAATTGTTTAAATTATATTTATGCACTTTAGCCAAGTATGTAAAAGGGCACCCTTTTGATCTGCTTTTGATCTTAAAATTTGGCACTGTTTCAAGTTTTCAAATCAGCACTGCTGTCGGAATTCAAATTAGATTATGTGTTAACCCTCTCGTTTGCATGCACTCTAAACGCGAGGGCGTCCCCATCCTTCTCCCTACTTCACATGCACTGGACGTACAGTTTTTTTTTCATTCCGGGGGGAACCTTTCTCACTCTCGCTCTCTGACTTGGCCAAACATAAATTTTATTTGTGGTCACGCTGTCAGCGAGTGATTTTTGCTTGTTAGCGACGACGGGTTAAGTTATTTGTAGTAAAAAATGGGCTGTCGTCGGCCGGAGGCTGGGCGGCGCAGCATAGATACACACACGCGATGGCGAAATCTCATCACTCTTGTCGAGTGTCCTGGCCTTTGTTATACACACTCGTCCACGCCGCTGCCGACGAGTAATGCGACGAAGCAGGTGTGCCGTTTGTGAAAAATTAAAAACACGCAGACAGACACATTCAGGCAGAGCCAGGCACCACCCGTCTTATTTATTTACCGCGACCAGACACCCGACATGCAAACGCCCTCTTCAAAAATCTGCTGCTGCGAAAAGCCGTCCGCCCTTAATCCAGGCGCAGGGGTGCTTTTGTGCGCTGATTATTATTTTCCCCGTTCTCTCTAGAATATTGCGACGTGATTATATTTTTCCTCTCCGCTTGTCCCCAGCAGCCGTGTGGTTTTTTTTTCATTCGTTCCAGATTTGAGTCGCATAAAAATAAGGATGTTTGTTGACGGTGTAATTAAATAGGGGTGGTTTACAAGTGGTGCGCGGTACATAATTAAGGGGTGAAGCGTAGGGATGTAGGGACAAATCAGGATTATGTGATGATTAAAATCTGCTGGCGTTGAAAGTTGAAAAGTAAAAGTTGAGTATTCTTACGCAATATGTTCCACCTTTATTATATATTTTTTTATTTAAATTTTGATGATTTTAAGTCTTCAATTTATAATAAAATTCATACTTTAGTAGAAATCACGATTTATTCGTATACTTTACCGTCAAAACTGAAATAAGCAGTAATTAAAATGGAAATCGTAAAATTGAGTTATTTTTTTCCTTTCGAATTGAGGAAATGTGAAAACTTCCACCAGTTAAAAATAAACAAGGATTCGATTGCAAATTAAATCTAATGGGCTCCATTGATTTCTATGATCAAGTTTCTCACGTAATCACGCAAGCAAAATAGGCGTCGATAAATTTCGATTTTTATCAACATGCGGAGACATTAATTATATATTTTGCAAACAGGGAAATATTTCTTTGTCACTATTTTGATATTCTATACCTTGAAAAATATTGCAAATAAATTCCACAGGGAGATTAGCAGCTGTATTTTTGTCCTGATGAATTTAATATTTCGTTTTTGACACACAGTTGATGTAGCCCTACATCAAACAAAAATGTAATAATAATAATGTAATTGAGTTTTTATTCAACAAAAAACACAAGCAGAAAAATGCAGCAGATTTGCTGGTGGTGTGGGGGGAAATGCCTAGTACTTTTCAGATCGGAGCTCATTATCCGTCTGGGTGTGCTGCGGGAATATCATTTTCACTATAATGGGCAAACTCGGCAGAGAGAAAACTGCTGTCCGCGCCAGAGATGAGGTTACGCCGTCGCGCCGAGTGACACGCTCGCCGTGGAATTAGCTTTGTCAGCCGGAGAAATGAAAGAGGGCCGGGCCAATATTGCGTCGCGCCACCTTTTGCTGTCCCTAGCTGCCGGTCAAAGGCGCGCGCCCAGTGCGAGAGCTCCTGTCAAATTAATTTTTATCTCCCCGACACCGCTCTTTTGTTTGCCATCTGCTCAACGGATTTTTCGCTCGGAATACGTTTTTCCGTGGGATTTAATCAAAGAAATAGTAGGAATTACACTTTTATAATTAAAGGAAATTCAACTTTTGTTACTTGCAAATCGTTGCACAATTCCAGAGATTTTTACAAAAATTATTATATTTATTACAGATTAATTTTTTTTCAATTATAAAATTTTGAGGTTTCATAATTATCTCAAATCAAAAAGCAATAAAATAATGCAATTTTTTCCTGAATTTTGTAATCTTCAATTAATGACCTCATTTTTTGGGAAACATTTGGTACATTTTTTAGAGCAAATAAATGAAGAGGCTACTTCATTTGGATTTTTTAACTACGAAGAGTAGTTTTTTTCAATTAATTACAAAAGAAAGCTAAGGAAATTTCCAAAGATTAATTTACCTTGAATTAAGCATTCTTTCCAGTTTCCGCTTTTATTGTATTAAAAAACACAGCCTCTTTCCAATAATAATGAACTTTTGCAGCCAATTAGGACAAAAGTACATTTTAGACTTAATCACATCAAAACGCGTTATTGATGGAAACTCCTATTTGCATATCAAAAGGGAAATTTTTTTGAAAAGATGAGGCTTCTTTTAATTTTCGTGACAAATGAAAGGGGTTGTACATCAAAGACAGGAACTTTTGAAAAGACGACTTAATTTTCACATTTGTTTTATTTCCAGACCTCGTCTTTGACATTTCCCATAACTTTTAAACCTTTGAAGACGCCCACTTCTTAATAGGGAGCAGAGAGAGTGAGTGTGGAAAATTGTCCAGATTCATCACAAGTTCGCAACCATGAGAGATATAAAGTTTGCGCAGAGTCACTCGCAGCGACGGGAGAGTTTTGCAAAGTGTCTTTAAAATTGATAATCAGAAATTATGGCGAGCGCAGCACAATCTGTCAATGTAATAAAAAGAGCCCTACACGCGCAGGGGTGAGGGGAGGAGTTCGTCAAACGCGAGAGCGGCTTAATATTCATCGCACAAATTGCAGTTTGAAAGTGCGCGAAGCCCTGCCGGCGAAATGAGAAAAAATGGGGTTCGCGAGACGAGTGTGCGAGAGAGAGAGAGAGCAGATCGATCGTGGAGCCGCGCCGAGCGCGCCAAAGTCTCCCCCTTGAAAAAAGAATCTACAAGATAATTATCACTTCATTAACTTAATTAAAGCACGATGTCGGAAATAGCGCGCGCGTGCTGATGAGAGACGTGTTTTACGGCCGCACCAACAACAACACTTTTGCGTCTGCGGTTTTAAAACCTTGTCGGTGTTGTTATTTAACTTTTCCCAGCATAAAGATTTATTAACGTTTGAACAGCAAGCTAGACTTGACCAATTAAATAATTCAATCCAATGAAATTTTGTATGTACCTAAGATTTGAGAATGAAGTTATTAATATTTTAAACGATAAAAAATACTAAAAAATTTATTTATTGCTTTTTACTTTGTTAATAAATGAATGTAGTAAATAACTAAATTAAAGAAAAATACATACGTATAATTATTATAATAGCTAATATGCACTAAATTAGTTTCTACATGTCAAATGTCTCATTCAGGATTCAAATATTGTTTGAAAATAAAATTAAAAAATCCCAAATTGACCCGTTTACAGCATGCATGGCTGACTTGGAGTTTTTGGCCGAGTTAAACAAGTAAATCAGACTTAATTATGAGCCTCGTAGGTCAATTTACAAAGCGAGATCGAGAAGGGAACTTACTTTTCTAGCGGCGAGTCTGACTGGCTTGCGAGCTGCTCTGCCTGTTCGCTTCTTCTCACGTTGCATTTCGGCCAATTTTTGTCCATTTTGAGCCGGATTTGGACCAAATCTTGACCCCGGCGAGACACGATGCACTTCGTAAACAAAGAAAGCCATTATTTATCATATGTGGGCGTGTCCGATTGTCATGTGGCCCATGTGGGAGAAAAGCGGGAACAAGTTCAATCAGAGCAGAGCGAAATATTGATTCATCCCGTCGAGACAACTTTGTCGGGTTGCTAAACTCGTTCCCGCTTTTCTACCACAAATGACAATCGGACACGCCCACTTATGATCAGTAATAAATTGATTTCTTTGTTTACGACGTACATCGTGTCTCGCCGAAGTCAAGATTGAGCCCAAATTCAGCGCGCCCGAAATAGGCGAAAATCGGCCGAAATATAACGTGACGTTTTTCTTAAGGACCCTGCCGGCCTCGGCAGAGCAGCTCGCAAGCCAGTCACACTCGCCGCCGGAAAAGTAAGTTCCCTTCTCGTTCTCGCTTTGCAAATTGACCTATCGTCGGGCTCATAATTATGCTTCATTATACTAGTTTCACTCGGCGAAAAACGCCAAGTAAACGGGTCAATTTGAGATTTTTTTAGTACATTTATTAGTACTTACAAATGTCATTTTTATTATTGTTGCTTATTTAAGTCCTTAGAAATAACCGTTGCTTTTTTAATGCTCCCAAATTAACATGGATGGCTTGAATTACATCCGTGACCTCATCAATTAAAACAATAATTAATAATAATAAAAAATGGAAGTAGTCGAACTCGCGATTTATAAAAAACATTCTATCAAAACTAGAAATTGACTGCTGAGGAAAACGTAGTGGTTTTACCGTTTCTTTTTAGTGTAAATAATGCAAACAGGGACCAAAATTGGGAGAATTTCAAATTTACAAAATCAATAGAGGCCGCCTGCCAATTAAAGCAGCGTGTTTCAAAGGCCTTTTGAAGTGGAACTGCATTTTTTGATGAAACGCGACCATGAACCTGCTGATTGGATTAGCGGCTTGTTGTGCAAACCCTCGACTTTTTCAGTTCTCTCACAATTAATTTCGCCTCAAAAACATGTCCGCAGAGCTCAGAGGTGGATCACTTTGTGATATCCAACCGTTTGACCAGCGGTAATTTTCGGCCCGTATAAACGTTTTGCGCTTTGACACTGCGACGAGGAAAGGTTGTAAATTTCAGCTTTTGGCGGTGCTTTATGTCCTTTTTGAGCTTGTGTGGCGTGAAGGTTGCTTTTGTTTTAGCACTCATCGCGTCAACTTTCATGATTTAAAATTTCAACGTCGGCTCGACGTACGTGTATTAACGACCGGACATCGCTGCACTATATTACACGAATTTAGCGCTGTGTCACAAATTACACCTCAGCAGTCAGCTTTTATTAATGAGATCCAGCCGTGAATATACCCGGTTTCCATAAGAGAGGGTTCGCCCATTTCCATCGATTTGCATCATATAGAGTGCCGACGCAGGTTTAGTTATAGCATCCGGAAATTTAGATTGATCTAGATAAACAATAAACTGCTCTCATATTATGTATTTCTCCTGTATTGCTTACATTCGGGAATATTCATAATCCATTTCATTGAATAAGTTATATTAATGAAAAACTAAAATAATTTTGTAATAAAAATATCAGAAAAAATCATAGGTAAAAATAACGAAGATAAAGGTGAATAGAAAATACTAAATATTGAGGGAAAGTGTAATCTGACTTGGAAAATGTTTGATGGGAAATCAAACTTACTGTTTTTGATGAATGTACTACATTTGTGCATTGATATAATTTTACAATTCTTAAACTTAAAATTTTAATTAAGTTGAAATTTAGTATAAAAATTCATTCATTGAAGAATTTTCAGTCTGATTTCCCAGCTGAAATCATCCCTGGAAATTGAATATCTGAAGTAACGCAAGTTAAATAGATTTATTTATTAATACATTAAATATTTGAAATAAACTTAATCTAAATTAGATGATTAATCTCAACAGCGAATATTTGATATTTTTGATTTGCAAAGAATTTCATTTCTTTTTTAAATAGCTAAATTAAAATTTGATAATTCAAGAAATTGAAATCCTTTGAGAAAGTTCCCCACGAGGAAATGTCATGGCCTAATTCCAATTGACATACTCAAAACTTTTCTGCAAAGACCTCTACTCTAAAAAGCAGCATTATTCCCACGAGGATTTCAAAGCCTCATAGCTCCACTTTATCTGGTATTCCGCCAGCCTCCGAATTAAAATCAATTTGCTTCCTTTTCACGAATTAATTAAACGCACTTACTTTGATCACGCGGCGTGGCGAGGAAACTTTTGAGCCGGGAAGCCTTGAGGGAGACACCGCGTATATAAAAGTATGAATTTAAACGCGGTCGAGGGAACACTGCAGCATAATTGCAAATCCTCCACCGCCACCGCGCCCCAATTTTCAATTTTCCTCCCTTATTCAATTTGGAGTAGGGGCTCTGTTGGGTGCTCCCTCTCTGCACACTATTAATTCCAGGAAATGTTTTCAGAGGACATGTTTAGGAATAATAATATTCCATCAGTGAAGTATGTAATCTGAAAATCAGCTTAGGTGGCTCTTTTCCGAAGCACCAAAAATCACATTCTACTTTAAGAGTCCATTTAAAAACACACAAAAAGCCAATGTCTCTTTTCTCTTTGTGATTCGGGAAAAATCCCAGCATCAGCAGAGCTGCCGGCGAATAATTCGACGTCTGATCAAAAGAAATAATGGCGATAATTATCAACGTGTAATGAGTCTGCGAACGTGACAAAGGCAGACACTCGTCTCGCTGCAATTTTCTCATTCTTTTGAAGAGTAATTACGATCAGCTCCACTCTTTTTACTTCTCTTTCATTCACACATATATAGATTTACGTGCTTTTGAAGATGAGCGTAATTTTGCCGGGAGGAAATTTCTTTGCGAGAAGAAAGAGAGGTGTGTGTATTCGGATGATTTTCGCCTCAAAAAGGAAAAATTCTTTCTTCTTTTTCGCGTCTTCTTTTCTCCGTTGCTTCATTATGTGAGGACACACGAATTTTGCCCCTTTGAAGTCGGTGTCTCTTTTAAATTGCATTCACTTCGTGATGTATGCAAGAATTCACACGCGTGTGCAACCGACGGAATTTGGACCGTTCGCCCCGAGGTATCAAAACAAGGTGTACATTCAAAGGCACGCACCCTTTACACCCGTGGACGTTTCGTTCCGTCACTGCTCGCTTTTGTGTCCGTTCCTATTTTATAGTGTATTGTTCCTAGATGGAGCTTAATTAGTTGTAGTATGCCCAGAATAATATAATAATGTGTACCTTTTGAGAGAGAGAATGCTCGTTTTGAATTATTACTTTTGGTCTACGGCAGTCAGCAGCTTACTCAAAGAGAGCTGCAGAATTATTCACGCAACTCCGTTGGGGTGTGAAGGCGTTCTCAGTGCGTGCGCGTTCAAAGCTGCTGTTTCTGTGAGCCTAACTTATATTCTAGGGTGTTCAATTTAGTTTCCATTGTAAATGTCCATGCAAATGTTTGTAAGAGGATAAACTATTCCTCTAATTAGTTTTCAGCTCCGTAGAAAACCTTTATTAACTAATAATACTGACTTGCAAATTTATCCCAATGAAAAAAAGCCGACTACTGAATTTATCACGAGCAAGGGATTTTTCTTCCAAATTTAATGATTTTATTTTATGTTATTAAAATTTGACCCCGAAAAAATTAATTTTATTGCTCTTTTTTCAATAAATGATTTTGCTTCGTCAAACAATTTGTTCTAATAATACAATGAAAAGAGGGAATGTTAAATTTTCAATTTATTTCCTGATTCAAAGCCAATTAATCAAATAACTGAAATAATAAGGAGATTATCTTGAGATCCCCAGAAACTATTGAGATGACATATTCTTTTGTCCATATTTCAATTATTTCGTGGAAGTTTTGAACATTTCTCAGTGAGGGGGATTTTCTAAAAAATACTCTTTCTTTATACTGCACACAAATTGTGAAAATTCTAATCTCTTTTTTATCGCCTTGATTGTGCGGCATCCTTTTTTGCAACTTAATCCTCCACTAAGAACATTCGGGATGATGGGGCATTTTCTAATGGAAATTAGTATCTCAACCTTGTCCATGTCCTTTTTATTGATTAAAATTTAGCTCGCTTTTTGTCTCACGGGGAATACAGTACCGTACCCTCATAAAATTTGCATAATGACGCTGCTCAAATAATGTATGAAGTCGAGAACAGCGATTAGCTGATCCCTCGGAATTGTTAAAAGGGGATCAAGAAGAGCCTTCTTATTCTTCTCTGCCCCTCTCTGTGTCATTTTCCTTCAAAGTACATCCACAAAGAATGAAAGAAAGAAAAGTGTAGTCCATCACGAGATTTGCAAGACTTCTCAAAGCAGAGTAAAAAATGCTTTCATTTGTAATGAAAAAAAAAGGTATAAATCTGTTGGAATTAAAAAAAAAGACCACTTTGGCTTAAAAATCGTATAAACATTTCATTAAGAAGCAGCAACCGGTATGCAAAACGCAGCGATGCACACAAAAATTTCCGCCTCTTTTCGCATAAAAATGAGCACCGCGTTTTGTCTCTTTTCCAGAGAGTCCTGTAATTATTAAACGAGCCTTTTTCTGCCGGAGACGTGCTCAACGTCCGTCACATCTCAAAATTAATTGGACTCTACTTCTTCTTCTTCTTCTTCTCCTGTTTATTTATATTTTATTTTTCCTCTCACGCTGCTTTCTACCGTCACTCCCCGCGAGTAGAAGAAAGAAAAAAATTAGTGGAACGTCAGTGTGTCTCGGAGAGCCAAGAATTTATTAAGATGTCCACCCCGCAACAGCCGCAATCACGCTGCGTGTTTTAATTTTCTGCCAAGTGACGCTCCATTACGCTATTTTGGCGCGCAAATTGCCTCCTCGTCTGAGAGTACTAGTGAGAAATATGTGCTAGTGGAACGGAAATATGCGGCGGAACCGAAAGATTTCCAACTTCGTGACAAATGGCCCTTTGAATAACTTATAGTATAGTTCCAGTTTAGTATCTCTGCTAAAAGTATACTGAAGAGATATGTGCCGCCGAAAAGTTTTTCGTCGTCCGTAAAATCAATAAGGGGGAAAATATGATTTCAGAAAACATGGGTCAGTAGATGGGTCGGATGGGTCGAGGACAGACTTGGCAACTTGTTAGATAAGATTGATCATCTACTTCATAAATTAAGGAACAAAAATACGCATTTTTCCTTTTTATTCTCACTGGGTTAATCCTCGGCAAAAAAAATCACATTTCTTCTCTTATGGAGAGCAAAAAATTTGTTTTGCAGTTTTTTTTTATGCAAAGAATTTTTAAATAATATAAATCGATGGATTATGATTCAATAAATACATAGGTCATTTGATTGTCATTTTTTTAGCAAATATTTTTAAAAAAAACTTTACCTTTTTTTTAATATAAACTTGTGGTGTTTGATTACATTATTAGAAGAAATTTTTAAGGTGTAATATATTTTCATATATTCATGGATAAAAAAATATTAAATATTTGAAAAAAAAATTAAAAAGATGAATAAAAAAAACTTAAAGAATCCAATACCTATGAAATATGAAGAAAAAAAATACATATTACCTAATATTTACAAAAGCATTGCAGGATCTCACTAATTTGCAACTCTATCGATAAATATATGCTCTGCCCGGGGATGTCACTTGGGAATGAAAAGTGGGTCTTTCGAAAATCAATGTTGGTGATGATGGGATGCACCAACTGCCGGCGCGCCCAACAATAATCTTGGCGTGCTGCACAATAAATCAGGATCATCAGAGAGACTCATCTGGAGCCGGGCTATTGTCTCTTCCTGATGGCTTGTCAGCCACCGGGGCTGACATGCGGAGCGCAAATTCAATTTTGCAGCGACACACGTTCATAAGAACTGCAAATAAAATGCAAAGCCTGGAGAGTGGTACTGATATGAATGCTGCATATACAGAGAGAGGGACGCGTATCTGCACTTTTGCAGGCAGGAAATGTTGTTGACAAGAAGCCATTTGGGACTTGATGCAAGTTTTTTGTCTATTTCAAGTTTCAAATATCGTTTCAATAAAAAATTTTCTTACCGAAAGTGGCTTTAAATAATATTATTTTGTTGATTCCCTTGGTGTTTAAAATATAATTCAATTTAACGGGCTGTGAAATCAAGACTCATGACTTATAAAATGAAAATTAAATTTTCGTTTAACAACATGCACAAAAAACGTTGAAGTTCACACTAGTAAAAATTTCAGTGCTTTAGTTGTATAGTGATAACAAATATTTTGAACAAGTTTCACACTGGATTATGTCAACAATACATATATATCTTCTATCTAAACCTAGCATTTTTTTGCAAAAAAAATCTAGAGGCAATTTAATTCCAATGCAACAAAATAATCAAGTACGTATATCCGCATCCTGCCCAAAAGGCTTCTTGCGAACAACATTTTTTGTCAGTAGCAAGCAATGAAAATTTCAATTTTATTCGTCTACCTACTCTCGGACGCACACTCGTCATACTTTTGTTTTTTATTCCGTTTCATTTGAATGCAGCCGGTGGAGAGCGAGCGAGCGCGGTGCCGGAAAAAGCGCAGCCAAAGTTAAATGAATGAGTTTAACCTACTTCACCTTGCTCTCTACGCCTACACTCTATGTACTGTGGAGGATGTAATGCACACATAACGTACGGTTCTATTGTACTTGCAGTCAGTTTGCTCGGCACATGACGAGGAATTTTAAGTAGCGGCGCTCTAAACTGCCAGATGAGCCGCGCCTTGCGTCCGCCCGGCTTTTTGCGGCTACTTTATTTTATGCTCCCTTTTGTGATGGGCTAAATTAAAACTTGCACGGTTCTTTTCACAAAAGCTATTTTAATTGCTCCCGTATGTACGTCGGCGAAATTGCCTTTTTGGCCGCGAAATTAGCAACTAATTTAAGACGGAAAGAAAACACACAAGTTTCAAAATTGTGTGGGTTTGTTTTTAATTGCTTTAAGAGGGATAGACACACTTAATTATAAGTTGTAATTTACGGGTAACTCGTAAAACTCACTCCACTTTCTTAATTTGCGTCAATTTGCGCAGCAGAGCATCTTTGTTAAATTAAGATTTAGTGCACCCCGGCTCAGTTTAAAATGTCTCAAAATATTACTGTTATTATACTGTCGTTGTCGTAAAAACTCTATATTATTTCACCTGCTAGCAACTTGCAACTGTTTGAGACTTTTTTACTCTAGGTAATAAAACTCACTTTAAGCTAAGAGAGTTTTCCTGCGTTGGACTTATTTATTTAAGACAATGGTTAATGGCCCTGTGCAGTAAAAATAAATGGAAGTTAATTTTCCCAGGAAATTACTGTCGGATGCATTATTACGAAATTTTACTGTTTATTTTCACCTCTTCGTGAAAATTTTCCACCCAAAGCGACTTACTTTCCTTCTTCCTCCTCCGACTTTTCGAAATATAAAAGAAGCTAATGAAGAGGCAGTGGAGCTTGAATCGAGAATGAATTCATCGCTGCTGATGCAAAGTATACAAGAAGAAGTGCAGTGAGAGAAAAGCCAGCCGCTTTTCAATTGCACTCTTTCCATTTGCATTTCGCGCCTCTCCTCTCTTTGAATGATTGTTTTTTTCCACATGGAACACGAGTGCTGGAAGCCATTCATAATTGGCTGCACATGCATAATGCATTCTGCAATAAAACTGCATATGCATCCGGACGAGCACTTGGCACCCAACATAAAAGCGACTAATCCTCTCATTTGCACATCGCCGCGTGGTACGGATTCGCGGGAAACTAATTAAATAGTACATATTCCTGTTGGCAATTTTGGTGTTCTTTCGGCTTATAGCGAAATGCATAATTAGATTATTTCACTTCTTGCATAATAGGATTAAATTATGATGCCATACACCAACTTCACATATTTATCAATTTGCTTCACCAGCAAGAAATTTTTAAACAAAAAGCTTGCGACAGCCGTTCCATGAATTGCGGACTTGGTCCTTTTTGAAGAATAATGATCTACCGTTTGAAAGCTGTATTTTCTCTACACGCGAGCAAACCAAGGAAAATCCAAAAATACTACAAAACAAACAACCTAAAATAATATGCATTGCAATGAGAGTTAGATGTTTTCACTAATTTGCAATTCCAGAAGACCCTCGCACAAATACACACACTAGATCACTTACGATTCACACACATTGAATAATATTTCCCACGTCCTTAACAAATAGAGGGCCTAAACAAATAATGGATTGGTCCAGAAATAGCAATTTAACACATCCTTTTCTGTGATTTCCAGTTATTAAATAATGCCTAAAAAATGGATTAAAAAAAATGCGAATTTAAAAAAAAAATATTGCCTGTTTTCTTAATCCTAAAAATATACAGGCGGTAGTATTAAAAATTTATAATTATTATAATATTTCACCAATTTCGGTTTGTGTTGATTTGTAAATTTTTGTTAATGGCTGCGATGTCTGGACATCCGATTCTTGACCAACAATACTTTAATCAATCTTGTCAACCAAAACTAAAAAAGTCAAATTTCCCGTTCAACAAAAATATAATTTACAAAAATCCTCTTATTTCATATCATATTGCGTTGCCACTAATTGAATTTTTCATCTCTGCGGATTCAATGAGAATTTCCCATTATCCATAGGAGGACCAATCAGTCAATCTGCGATCTGTGACCATTTCCGCCTTTCATCCACCCTATTCAGGAACAGAGCTCTTTTTTTGTAATCTCGCACACGTACAAAATGAAATCCTGCGCGTTCGCTGCGTAATTGGAGTGAAAAAATACTGGCCTTTATTCAAAGACTAATGACACATATTCTCTGCCATGCTGAGCTTGTAGGTTATGTTTGATAAATAAATTGGATGTCGCGCAGAGATAATCTGTGACTGCGACGCAAATAATTAATGAACTTTGCCGATCAAACTGGCATCGCTTTTTTTAAAATTCATTTTCAATCAGAGTCGGCAGTGCAATTGCACAGTTAAGGCTTGAGGCGGAATTTCTGTGATTTTAGATTGAAAATGACGAGCATTGGTTTTTACATAAACTGTGTGCAAATTCGACATATTTAACAGGGTTTAGCTCGTATATGTCGTGACTATGCAGTTGCCTAAAGGGATTTTGTGTTTTGAATTGGTGGTTTATATTGACACATTAGCAGCAAATAAAATAACAGATTTAAGTTGTAAATGTGATTTTTAAGCAGCTATATATGTACAATATTAATTGAAAAATTAAATAAAAAAATTTATATTAAAGGAAATTGATATAAATGTACGTAATTAAATTTCATTTCAATATTTTAAAAAATTGCTTCTTAACTATTAAAAATCTGCTTTCTCCCTTTCATGTTCTCCTTGATTTACTATTTGAATTTGCGATTTTTCTATAAAAATATAAATTTTTGTGTTTTAGCTGGATAAAAATCGGTAAAAAACTAAAAAAATTGAAATGAAAAATTAATTGAATAGTTATAGTTTCAGTAGCAATGATACAGAAAACAAAGTGTACACTTTGCAAATATTAATTTAACTCCCACCATGCCTGCGTGTTTTTGTTAACTTAAATTAAAATAAAGATGACCACAGATTAAAATAAAAAAATAGTTGAATTATTTTTACTTTTTAAAACTTTATATAAGAAAGACGAAAAAATTTTCAATATAGTGAAGGTGCATCGAAACTACCTACTAAAATAGTTATTCAGCCTGTATATTCTTGTTCCGTTAATTTTTCAAAACTATACAATGAGCCTAAGAGAACAATAATAAGAATACAAGCGCCAATCTTTGAGAGGTATACGTTATTGGTTATGTGTAAGGTCTAGAATTTGTCACTATGTTATATAATATTATTAATATTCAATTCTTAAATACTTGTCATTTTTCCTAAAAGGATTAAAACTAAAAAGAACTATCAAATACAATAAAAAAATCTTGTTTCATCCCTGTCGTTTGAAGTCGTATCAAGAGAAAATAAAATTTCATCGCAGAAGCGTCCTATCCTATGCGATATCGAACTCTCGTAAAAGAAACACGGTTTCGCCATAAAGAAAGAAAACACGATCTGCTGATTTTACAGCTTATATATGCATAAAAAATAGAACTTCGAAACAGCGTAAAAAAAGTATGAGGAAACCTGTCAGTAAAAAGAAAAAAAATTATGTTCCAGGAGTTAAAAAAACACGTATATCAAAAGTTTACGCGTGGGTGAACAATAACTCGTTCCGTGTCACGCGACGATTCTCAAATATAATATGTGAGAGTGGCAGAAAAAATGAGTAAAGGTACTCACTGTGTCGTTGGGCTTGCATCATGGGTCGCGTGTAGCTGGGCATGGCATCGTCCGAGTGGTCCATCTTGAGCTCGTCAGGCAGGCCGTCGGACAGATCGTCCATCACTGAGTGCGCGTCCCGGTGAAGAGCGGCGGCCGCTCGGTCGTACTCCTCGAGAGAACAAAAGTGAAGTGGGGTGCGCAGAGAGGAGCAGCACAAGGGGTGTGCTCGGCGCGGATGCTGAGGATGCTCTCGCTCGCGACCCAGGCAGGGGTGGCTGCGCCTTCCCCGACCGGCAGCACCGCCTCTGCGTGGTCCCACCGCCAACTACTACACCAGCCTTCGCTCGCTTCCCTCAAAATTGATATACATTTTAAGTTGAAAAACGCGGTGGCGCGCACCGAGAGACAGACAGCCGCCCCCGCACACCAGCCGCGATTTTCTTTTCCAGGCCTGATTTCCATTCACCTCTGCCGAAAGGAACGCGAGACGCGACGGAATGCAAGCTGGAATTTCTCCGCACTTGCTAACCATCTCTTCACACTCCGTTTGTCTAATCGAATGTGTACATGTTTGTTAAATTCGATGCGGAGCATAAGCTTAACGAAAACGGCCGATTTTTATTTGAAATTGATAATTTTTTTATCAAATATTGCTCTTAAAACTGTTTTGTTGTAAAATTTTATAATTCAAAATAGGTAATTAAATGTGGATAATTTCATAATGGTAAATAATAGTTTTTCTTTTACCAATTTGTTAAAAATATCACTTAATTACTCGTTCCTATTTATCGTTTTTGTTTCATTTTTTAGCTCTTTTTAGATTAAAGCTTTCACAAAAATCACAATCTTCTTCAACAAAGCAAGCTAATGGTCGGTTCAGATCCAGATAGAAGATTAAAAATTAAATAAAGGGAATAATCCATTGTTTTAAAGTAAAACTGGCCTTTCCTTTTTAGAAACATTTTTTTATCTTAAACTTTTAATAAAAAAGCACAGAAGAGCCCTTCCAGTTAACCTTTATTTTCATATAGATATAAACACTGAAACACAATATTAAATTATGCATGCTTAGAATATAACCAAGGAATAATAAGATGAATTACCTGCTGTATAAAATTATTTTTCTCTGCAATTCAGAGGGCGGAATAGATTTTTAGGAAGTATTGTATAATAGGATAAATTAATTCAATAACCTACATTAAAATTAAATGCAGATTAACCCAGTATTGGTAAATAAAGCCTGATTTTTCTTCAATTTTTTTCATAGATTTTTTATTTATTGTTGTTTATTTGTAAACAATGTATTTGTAACAATGTGGACAAATAAACAACAATAAATAAAAAATCTATGAAAAAAATTGAAGAAAAATCAGGCTTTATTTACCAATACTGGGTTAATCTGCATGAATTTAAGATAAAAATAATTATATACTTTTTACTGCATTGCAACTAGAGTTTTTTTACATTTTTATATATAATGCTGAGTGAACATTTTCCATCCGGATGCATAAAAAGCATTTCTAAATGGATTATTAATTACTCTCGAAGTGCATGCGTTTATTCAACGGAGATTGTAAAGTGGTACATATTAAAATGAGTAATGTACATATGAAAATTGTCGTGAAGATTTAAAAAACACTCTGGGGAAAACATTTATCGATTTTTTTCTATCCATTCGAGCACTTGAGCAAAACTGGAGCAGCGCTGCTCTTTAAGGAGTTTTTCAAGATCTCCATTTGCAGAAAATTTTTATGCAGCTGGATATTTGAAGAAATTACGAGAACAAGAGTGACACGCGAATGCAGCTGAGGTCGTCAAGAGGACAGTTTATTTTCAGCGAGTTCCAAGGGAGTTGATCGCTTTGCGTGTTTTTAAGTCACAGGCTTAATGAAATTTGCCTCCAAATCAATATTGACGTGGAGGCAGGGGCCGGGAATTTTTATTTGCCACCCGCCCGTCGCTCCGTAGATTTATAATGCTTTCATAGTGATTATGAAAATTTTTAAAGCGCCCTAAAAGCTGCTGGTGCGCCTCGCGTCGCCTTTTTCCCAACACTTGAAAGGGGTAAAAACTTCCTCGGGGGAATTGTTTCGCAAGTTTTGCAAAGTCGGCTGCCCTGCGCGCGTTATAATGAAATTTTTTCCCCTGCGCTTTTCTTGAAATATAACAATAGATTGTTCGGCAAAATTCTAAATTAAAAAAATAATTTTGAACAGCTTCAGATGAGGGATAATGCGATGGAGTTTTGTTATTGATGCACACCTTACCTTTGTTAAGAGTTTTCAAAAGGGAATTTATGCTTTGGGGGCTATTATTAGAATTTCCGCTGTGAATAAATAATAATCACGTGTTAAAGGAGTGAAAAGTGAAATTTTTGCTTCCCTTCAAATAAAAATTAAAGAAGGGGAATTTTGATATACTTAATTTTCGTTGCACAGTGTTTTAGAGCCATCAAAAGCAGAAAATAGCTATCGCTTTATATGACAAGGAAAATTATATTATGTTATATAATCTTCCAGAGATAAAAATGCACCATATAGAGATTTTTTTTTCAAAATAGGATACACATTACTATTTTTTTTTTTTTAATTTTAAGAGGCAATTATTGCATAAGAGAATAAAAATAAGTTTCAAGAATTTGAGAAAACAAAATTTAGAATGGAGGTTTTTTAAGATATTTGAATGCAATTAGTTTTTCTTTTTAAATTTCCACAAAATTTAGAATTAACACGACACTTAGTATTCAGATTAAGTGCATGGAAAAGCAAATGGCAAGAAGAAAGTAGATTTAGAATTAATAAAGAGTAGCAGGTTGATTCAAAAATTAATAACTTAATAGTTTTGTTCTATTTAAATTGGTTCAGTTTGAATGCGGAAGAATTTTAATTATAATACTTTTAATATAAACCAACGCTTTTCTTAAAACTTGTCTGATTTGTTTCCAATTTTAGAACCTAACTTAATTCAGCACAGTTAAAAAAATCTGTTTCCAGAACTCATTAGTCCGAAATAATTTAAAAGTTGCTTAATTACCTAAAAAATTCCTTCTTGGAAAATTTGCTGCAAGTTAAGGGACGAATTTCCATTCTTGCACACCTGCCTCCCGCTGGGATTAAAGTAAACATCTCCTAATGAAAAAAGTTAACAACCAGGAATAAATTTGAATAGAATAACATAACCCCCTTTGTGACAACGAAAGAGCGAGAGTCTCCCTGCTTTTGCCGGGAAATATTCTGCTTTGATCCGCCGCCGGCAGCAGGGACGGGCAGATTGATTTGCCGTGAGCCAATTTCCTTTAATGGCGACGATTCTTCATTCAAGTTTTGAGTCACCGGCGATTCCGGAGGCGGCAGCTGAGCCGACCGGGCCGAATCCAAATTTAATCAAACTCAAGGGAAGTAATTAGGCGAGCGGGCGGCACTTGGCTGATCAGCGCCGTTTAATAAGCACCCCCCAATCTACCAACCCCCAAAGGTCACTCTCGCTCGGTCTCAGGTGCGACCGTTTGTTCGGCAAACACGACTCCCCTCTCGCTCCGCTGCTCAAACACACCGCGGGCCCTGCTGCCGGATAAGCTGGCTGGCAAAACTTGGCACGGCGCATTTGCATGATGAACAACCAGCATCAAAAGTTTATTGCCCCTTGCAGCGACCTCCCAGCCTTTTTAAATCCGCACGGGGACCGCGCGCATGGGCCGAATATTTGATCAGCATTTCACTTTCCGTTTTTATTTTCTTTTTCTTGTGCTACAGTATAAATTCATAACTTTTTTCAGATATAAAATCAGGAAAATAGCGCATGCACACCTTTGCATCCTTTTGACATATATTTGATATATTTTTGAAACTTAACTATAATCAGGAGAATATAAGGGCTAGCAAAATAAAAATTTTAATTTTGTCCCTTTGAGCTTTAGAATATCAAGTTATTAATTATGTTATTAGAAAGGAAATATTTTGCAGTCATTTTTTCCAAATATTTGCAAATTCAGTGGGCGTACCCTACGATGATCGCTGAAACAGCCTTAAAAGTCCAAGTTACTATAGCTATGGCTGAGCTATATTATACATAAAAACGTTTTTACTGTGACAGAAAGAGCGATTACCTCGTTTAGAAGCCATTTAAAAGTTAATATTCGACTTGATAGAATTAGCAGCGCAATAAAAGCAGCAATCGTATAACTTTCAACATGATAAACTGCTCTCTCGGTTAATTGATTGCACAAATAATATCTTATTCATGGGGACCATCACTCTCTTCTTCACTTTTATTTTGGAGATATAGAGAGAGAAACTACAATAAAATGCAGCAAAAGAATCGCTTTTTAAATCTGCACGCTGACTTGAAGCAGAAAAATACACAACAGAAGGAGCGCGCACTGGAAAACTAATGACGATGTTTCCTCTCTGCTATTTCTTGATGTGCAAGAAGAGAGGCCGGGATAAAATATAATAAATTACGTCGGCGGCAAATCAATAATTTGAAAGCGTGCTTGAGCTGACGGTGCTGCGGGTGAGTGATGAGACGAGCTAGTCAGTGCCGCAAACTGCAACAATGGCTTTTTAACGAGAATAAGGATGATCTGCAAATAAAAAGACACTGAAACGTGGTACTGACAACAAAGAGATGCAAAAATTAATGAGATTGAATCACAAAAAAATTTAAAAGGTTACGAGAAAGCCTACAATTTACTTAATTTTAGCTAAAAATGAGTGATATTTTGTAAATTTTACGGTTTTTTCTTTTGTTAGCACGAGTTGTTTTAATTTTAATCAAAATTTCCAAATGATATCCTTAACCTTAATTATCATATAAAGAAAAAAGGTAGATAATTTTTATTTATAGTTTCTTTGCACTAACTAGTCATTTATTCCAGCAGTTTTTAAACCTTAAAAAAATTTCTAATTTAAATTATATTAACAAATTTCATTATGTATTTATATGGTTTTCATTTTGGTATGACTATAAAAAATATAAATGTGGAAAATTATATAAAAATTATATTTATGCAAGACTTATAATGCATTCTGGGAAGGTGACATTGGAAAACCTTGGCGTCGAAGATATGAGGAAAAACGCACACGTTTTCCCAGCGGGTAATTGGAGCCACTCTTTTGCTGGCCGCCCTTTATTTTTTCTTCAAGCGCAAAAATATTACGTGTATATAGAAGGGCATTTCTGCTGGTGGCCAGCAATATCCGTGCAAAACAAAGGCTGTCCGTC